GGGGGGGGGGGGGGTGGGTGCGGGTGCGGGTGCGAGTGCGGAATGCAGTCAGCTTGAGAGTGTACAATAGGAGTCGATCAATAGGAGTTGTCCAATGGAGAGTTGTACTGTACGGTGGTTGAGGTATGACACGGTACGGTGCGCGCGGGAAAGTGGTGCGGCAGATATGGATGGATGCGGGTGCTGTACCCTTCTACAATAGGAGCGTACGTACTGCGCGTATTGTACCCTTAAGGGTACTGTGCACGGCATTGGTTCTGTGAACAGAACTAATCCGCCTAATCGTAACCGTTAACTGTGTTCACATGAGCAGAGTTACGATTAGGCGGGTGTTTTGGGGCATCCCAAGAAAACATCAAAGAGAAGCAGTCCTTTCACAAGTACCCAAGGGTACCCTTGGGTACAGTATTAAGCTGGTTTCGATTTTGGGGCAACCAAAAAAGGAATCAAAGATGTAAAGAGAACATCTAAAATGTACCTTTTGAAGCTGGTTTCGATTTTGGCTGCATCTGAAACAATGCCTTCTCAGTGCACAGTTGTGCACTCTCTACGCGACACGCTATAACCCTCCTATGAGAGTATTGTACCTTCCAATTTTTTTAAAACATTCAAGGGCCAAAGACCTCAATGCAGACGATTTTTTATAAAGCCAAGTACTGCACAATCCAGTGCCACATTTTATGAGAAAGCTACATCTTTAGAGAAACAAGTGTTCAAACGTCATATATTTGTACGTAGACAATTTTTTTCTTGCCTCACACTTGTCGTCTGGGGCCATGCTCTACGTACAGTATACCGTACAAGGAGCTGATGTGTTATTTATTTAGTGGAGAGATATCTAAGATTCACAGGAAATATACTGTATCTGTATGGGGCAAGGGGAAACTGTATCGAAGGGAAAAGTAAGCGAGGGAGGACTGAAGATACTTGTACATCAGCTTGCGAGCATCTCTACCAAAAGTAAGCGAGGGAGGATTGAAGATACTTTTAACATCAGCACTGGGCATCTCTACCCAGTGACCGTATTCGCTTCTCTAATAATCTACAGTACTCAAAAATTTCTGGCAAAGAAGGGTAGGAGCAAAAGAAATACGGGTGCATTCCAGCCATTACAGCTCGCTCGGCGCCTTGCGGAAGAAATAAAGTTACCGCAACAGCAGTGCTATTTGGTGAATCCGTCAACAGGTACATTTTCTGACGGAACCTGTCGGTCGCCCGTCATGTCCCAGCCGCCCGCCAATCGCAAACGACACCGCGCGGGGAAAAATATCTGAACCGCGGCAACCTCCCCCAACCGGGAGCGTCCCCGTTTCCAAACTTATTATTCATCCTTGATCCGCATGTCCAAAGTTTGGACTCCAAACCCCACTGTCGCCTGTCCCACGCCACCCCTCCTCCACACCACTGCGCATCCCTCCCATGCCTCCTCCACCGCTCCCCTCCACCCGTGCACCGCCCCCATGATTCCGCGCCCGACCCCGAAAGTGACCTCCCCTCCGCAGCTGCCGCGCGCCCCCATCACCTCGTCCCCGCCGCTCACGCCGACCTCTAATGGCACCACCTCGCCTGCCTCCGCCGTCGGCCTGCCGCACCTGTCGCTCTCCAAGCCGCACAAGCGCGTCCTCGTCTCCTCGCCCGGCGGCTCCCACCGCCGCACCCACTCGCGCAACTTCTCCGAGGTAGACTTCATGGACTCCGGCCTGGGCCGCTCGCTCACCTCCGAGCTCCCGGTCCTCGGCCTGCAGGACGAGCTCGACTCGCTCCAATTCGACGACGTCTTCGTCGAGGAGTACCTGCTCGCCAAGCTCCAAGACTCGCAGAGAAGACTGCAGGAGGTCCGCGACTATAAGCACGCCCTGGATGAGGCCGCCCGCCCGGAGAATGTCTCCGCTAATTTGCCCCCCAGGCAGCCCTTGGGCGCGAGCCCCAAGACCGGCGCCTCCTTGCTGCACCCGAAGAAGGGCCGCAGGCACCAGAGGTTGTTCGTCGCCAGCTTTCGCCTCCCGCTTACTGTCGAGATTGGCGACGACGGCGAGGTCAAGTCCAGTATCAGTAATGGTTCGCTTGGCTTGTTCTCCGCCTTTAAAGATTTGCTGGGGAGGGTCCCGATACGCTGGTTGGGTGCACCGGGTCAGACCTTTCATGACGCCGCACAGCTTCCGCCGGATGAGCGCAGCAAGATGGAGCGCCATTTTCAGAAAAGGCGCCATCGCAAGAGCATGGGCCTGCTTTCGTACGTCCCCTTGTTTCCGGATGCCGAAGATGCCGCTGCCCATCAAGAGTTTTGCAATTCCGTCATGTGGCCGCTCTTTCATTACATTCCTCTCAACCTTGGGGAGAGGACTTATCACGTCGAGATGTTCGACGCCTATGAACGCGTCAATCGTTTTTATGCGGACGCCCTCATTCAAGAGTGGAAACGCACGGGCATTGATGAATCCGAAGCCATGTTTTGGATCCATGACTTTCATCTATGCCTAGTCCCTAAGATTCTCCGTGATCGGTTGCCCAACGCCCGCATAGGTTATTTCTTGCATACACCGTTTCCGGCAGGCGAAATATTTCGGGCCCTGGCCCCGCGCAAGGAACTGTTGGAGGGATTGCTTGGTGCTGACTTGCTCGGCTTCCACACGTATGATTACGCGAGGCATTTCTTATCTGCTTGTGAAAGGCTGCTGGGAGTCACTGTGCAACCAGACCATGTTGATAACAAGGGTATCAATGTGCAGGTTGGCATTTATCCTTTCGGTATTGATGCCGACACCTTCCGAGCGGCGATGAAGCAAAGCACGGTCAAGGATATTCGGGATGAGTTGTTGGAGTCGTTTGCAGGGAAAAAGGTTCTTGTTGGGGTTGACCGGCTCGATTATATCAAGGGCATTCCACACAAGCTGCTTGCTGTCGAGCACTTTCTTGAATGTCATCCAGAATGGATCGGCCGCGTCGTAATGCTGCAAGTGACGACGCCTAGTATGTCAGCGTCTGAGGAATACCATGCGTTCCGTTCCGAGATCCTGGAGATGGTGGGAAGAATTAACGGCCGCTTCGCTACTCTTGAGGATATGCCCATACATTATCGAGAGGTTACCATGACATTCGAACAGATGTGCGCTTTGTACTCGGTAGCAGACGTGGCTATAATCACATCGCTTCGAGACGGAATGAATCTTGTGAGTCATGAGTACATCATGTGTCAAAAAGAGCAAAACGGTGTTCTCATCTTGAGCGAGTTCACAGGAGCCGCACAAAACTTACCGGGTGCTTTGCTAGTGAATCCCTGGAACGTTGAGATGGTCAGCGATGCAATTTTTCAGAGTCTGGAAATGCCCGACTTCGAGAGAGAGTTGAAACACCAGAAATTATACCGCCATGTCGTCATGCATACTGCGTCCGCATGGGGCGTTCGCTTCATTGACGATCTCGTCAAATTCTCTGCGATTCGCAAGGCAAAAGCGATGCAACTAATTCCGATGCCAAAACACCGTGTTAGAGATTCATACCGTGCTACGAAAGGGAAACGATTATTTTTCTTTGATTACGATGGCACTCTTCGCAAGTACGAGAGTCAACCAGAGTTGGCGGAACCTTCTGAGCGACTTCTCGAAGTTCTGCGCCGTCTTGCTAGTTGTGATCAAAATATTGTGTTCATTGTGACGGGGAGGCAAAAGAACACAGTCATGGATTGGTTCCGAGGAGTAGGCCTTGGTTTTGCAGTAGAACACGGGTTTTCTATGCGATGGCCAGATCATTTACGGGAGAAGTTTGGGGGCCGTAGAATGAGCGGATTGCAAGAATATGGAGAGCAGGAGACGTACGCAACAACCGGAAACACTCTAGTCGTAAAACGCGACGAAACTTGGAATGACCTAATAAGCCCCCATGATCTCATTGCGATGAGGGACGCGCTTGAATTGGCCGGTTCGTTGTTGAGACGAATTGAGGACTGCACACCTACGAGCTTCTTGTCGAGAAAAGAGAGTGCATATAGCTGGCATTTTAGAGATGCTGATCCGGATTTCGCCGTGAGTCGAGCACATGATGCTCGGCAAGCGCTCGAGGAGGTGCTACAAGGCAGTCCGATGGAGGTCTTGATGGGGCAAAAAATCCTTTACGTTCGACCGCGAGGGGTGCACAAAGGAGCAGCGGTGGCTGAGGTCTTGAGACGCCTAGATCTCGAGGGTGAGGCGCCGGACTGGGTTTGTTCCATTGGTGATGACCGAACCGATGAAGACATGTTTAAAGAAATATATCGCAATGCTGACGGGAAGGATATTAGTGTTCACACATGTACAGTAGGACGGAAGAGCACATCAGCAAAGTATTACGTACAGCATGTGGATGAAGTGCTTGACTTTTTGGAAAGGCTCGCACAAGTAGATGTGAATTCGCCGTGATGGGGCATAAATATGTGTATAGGAAGAAGACATCGTATCTTCTCAAAGCCTGTCGCTTAACTTTCTAGTCTTTGCCTTACCTCCCGCCTCTCACTCCGTCGCTTCCTTGTGCACGCATTGTTCGGACCGTCTAGCCTGTTTGGCAGCCAACCATCAACAGTTCGACCCCTTTCCACATCTACCAGAATGCGACGGCCTCCTACCCTCATCCCGTTCGCCTCCCGCCATGCAATCTTCATATCGCGCTCTCGTTCAAACTCAACAAATGCGTAGCCTCTCGAAACCTCCTCTCGATCTGATGGCATGACAACAGTTGCCACTGGGCCATATACCTCGAACACATCCCGCAATGACTTCTCAACCATAGCAAACGGGAGATTGGCAACGAACAGCGTGCTATACGCATTCTTTGTCTTTGCAGAATCGTCGCTTTTTGGGTCCCACTCCTCTCGTCGTTTTTCAACGATTTCCGAGACCTTCCTCAACGCTTCGTTCCGAACGCGCCGTCTTCTTTGAGCAGGTGTTTCAAAGGATGTTTCAGGCTTGCCCTCGTTTCCATCAGCCATTTTGGTATCCCTCTGGTCTTTTGGATCTTCAAACATGGAGACGAATGTACCCAAACCTGTCATGGGTTTGAGCTTCCGCTGCCGCGGGGGCGGCTTAAACTCAATGGGCTTGCGGGGTGCAAACAATTGAATGATTTGCTTGGGGAAGCGGAAGCGTTGTTGGCCGCTGTAAGCGGGACGATTTCGATTTCCTGCATGGGGCCCGGATGGCATTTTGAGAAACAAGTCTGTTACGTAGATTGAAGCGCAAACGTGACGTTGGCCAACGGAAGAAAACCCAAGGATGACGCCACCGACCGCACGGCACAAGCCGACCAGCACAGAGAATTGCAAAAACTCTCTTGCGGTCTTCCTCGACAACCCACTGTGAAGAGGTGAAAGCAGCCGGTTGTCGAAAGGCCAATGCGTGCTACGGAAGAATGTGTCGAGGGCAAGCGTGGAAAACTATACTGTATGAAGAAGTGGATACGATCTTCACACACCTACCCTACTCCGAAAAAAAAAAAAAAAAACCTTGAATTCGTTTAATTTTGGGGCGCGTACTGTGCCGTGTACTGAGCAAACGCAGCCCACACTCCATTGCACCGATCACTGGGAAATCCCCGCAGGCCCTCAGGACCATTCTTGTCAGATATGGGCGACATCTGGGCGTAAGCAGGGCTATATCTGCATGCTTAGTGGCACACCGTCCAACAGAGAAAGAGGGGAACATACAGGTTCAAGCTTTGAATCCTGAACTTGAGCTTTGAGGCCTTTCTCTAGATACCCTGGCGGAACGGGCACCTCGATGAGCAAAAAAAAAAGTTCTCACAACAGATAAATTTCAGATCTCTCAAAGTAGTGGATATCCTGAACTTCACTGTAGCTTTCAAGTCCATAGATCACCGGTCGTTTTGTAGCTTGATCGGCAAACATTGGTGAGTTCTCATGCCATTTTGCCCTAAGAGTATCTCCATGCAAGTCCAGTCCACTATTTGCTTGAATCCAAATGTTAAACGAGTCGTCATCAGAGAGGCTTTCTGCAAATTCTCCGATATTATCGACTTCATGACTGTCCATAAAGTCACTTTCATGCAGTACTTGGTCGTTCAGCATTTCATAAACGTCGTCATACCAAGTATACTTCTCGTTAGGATAGTTTTGAAAGTGCTCTTCAGCCATTCCTGCGTCATACTGGTGTTCTGAAGGCAATTTGTGAGAATTGTTCAGATTTGATTCAAGGCCTTCTGCATACATGTGGTAGTCCACATTGCCACTATTTTCCTCATACTGGGCAGCGTTTTCTTCGCTATCTCCAATTCCAGGATTATATTTGTTTTCTGCGTTCAGATAATGCCATCTTTCTCGCTCTTCGTTTCGGATAGGACCATTATTATGCTGATCATATGCCTTTTCATGGTCCATGCTTCCGTAGTACTCGTCAAAATACCCACCGTCACTATCATCAACATCTGCTTCTTCAGTGTCGAAGTCGAACTGAGTCTCCATTTCATCTTCGGTATCGTGGTATTGGTGATCACTTTCATAAAACCTCTCGTAATCAGCAGTGCCTCCCTCACTGTACTCCGAATCATTGTACTCATAATGACGACTACCATAATAATCATATTCGTCTTCTTTTTCGCTCATGCCGTCGCCGTAAAAATCAGTCGCATAAATCTCGTCGTCATCTTCTTCATACCAGAATCGGGGATCACCATCCATCTCGCCAAAGCTTTTGGTATATCCATATCGATCAAACTTGAAATATCTCACGATTTGCTCTCTTGCATGCGCTGAAATTTCCGGGTTCGATGCTTTTAATATCAGCAAAGCCAAACTTACCGCCACTATTGTAAACGCCGCAGTTGCCTGAACAAATAGCAGTGTAGACCTTCCGCTATTCCAGAGGCGCATCTGGTCCTATTAGATGAGAAAGCACATAAGATCCTTCTAGTATGTGCAGCACAGTCGGACAGCTGGGCCGAGTTGCTCTTTTTATCCCACGAATAAAGCACTCTCAGAAGAATTGTGTCTTTCGAGAACACTTAGCAATTTCCGTGCGACGGTTTTGTCTGCTGGAGCAGATCAGATCGTATTTTTCGTATCATTGCAACTTGGGAATTGTGAAATCTCACCTCTGTTAAAGTCGAGCTTGAAGCTCAAAGCCGCGTTTGCTTTGACGTCCCGTGGAATAATTTTTGACGGGAGAGGGGGAGAGCAAGTACTTTTCGCTTTTAAGTTCATCATCATAAAAACTCTTTTCCAAGTCTTAAGAATAAATATTTACAAACACGACGGGGAGAGAGGGGGGCTGAAAGCTCTCTTTTCATTTAAAAGTTCAAAAAGCAAAATTCAGATACTATACAGTGCTATCCTGCGCATATTGCAGTACGCAATGGTTCTCATTAAAAAGGGCTTGGTGGAATAGACATCTCTTTGGTGGTCATCATAAAAAGGATAAACGCCCAGGGCGAGCTGATTTGAATTGGGGCGGAATGAACATCGTTCGGGAGAAGCGGGGAGTTTTGGCGCGGAGTTTAGTCCATGCCCCAATCCTGCATGGCAACGTGTGCGACGTGGCACAGATGCACTGTCAGCAGGGCATGAAATCAGCGAGTGGACGTTCGTCGATTCAGATGAAAGCGGCACAGCGTTCGACAGGCTCTGACATCAAAGGACTTGCCTGTTGTGCTTCCCGAATGTCGATACTGTAGATGTTTCAGCCGTACGGTAACCCGACCCACAGTCCAGTCAAAGCACAGCATGATTCTGTGAACTGTATATCCCAAAGCGGCAATTTGTATTCTACGTGCAAGAAGATGGAAATTGTCCGAGCATCACTGTTTTTTACTCGGCCCAAAAACCAAGAACCCCCAGTATCTAAACACATCCCACCGTAAATCTACAATTCTTCCTTCTCTTCCTCTTCCTCGCCCTCAACGGCCTTCAACTCCTCCTCCAACTCATCCATGCCGTCGTCATCCTGAGCACCGTCGGCGTCGGCGTCCTCGCCCTCTTCCTCACCTCCTTCCTCGTCCTCCTCAGGAACGGGATCCTCTCCGAGTGTAGAAACATCGAATTCGAACTTCTTGCTAGTCTTCTCCATGAGCCATTCAATGATGCCCTTGCTAGTTCTCTCGGCGTCAAAGTCAATACCCTTCTGCTCCTTGCCGGCTGGGAAGAAGTGGATGGTAGGGAAGCCCTTGGCTTTGTATCCATCGGGGGCGTCGTTCTCGGTGGCGTCCATCATGGCGAACTTGATGTGGTTGACGCTAGCCTTCTTGAGTTCCTCGGCAACCTTCTTGTAGATAGGCTTGAGCTTGTTGCAGTGTCCGCACCACTCAGCGACCTGGGCAATGACGACATCCTTCTCGGAATCTTCGACCTCATCAGACCAGGAGTCACCGACGACGTTGTAGACAGGGCCAGTGTTTTCGGACGGATCAGGGATAGCCTCGGACTTGCGGGCAGGGACAACCTTGCCGGCGATCATGTCGTCAACCCACGCCTCGAAGTTCTTTTCGGTGAACTCCATGCCTTCCGGGAGCAGATAGCGAGCATCGCTCTCGAAGGCGTAACCACAGACCGGGGTCTTGGCGTCCTTGAGACCGACGTAGTCGAGGAAGCTGGCAAGAGTGACGGCGTTGACCCAGGCGAAGACAACCTTGCCATTGTCAACCTTCTTTTGGGCGACCTTCTCCATGATCTTGCATTCAGCAACCTCACAGTCCTTGAAGAAACCGACGATGATAGGAGTGGAAAGCTCCGTATAGAGCTCGGCATTCTCCTGAGTGAACTCCTGCCAGGCCGGGAGGGCAGCTCCCTTGACAAACTTCTCAAGGCTCTCGTCACTGTCGGTGTCGTACTTCATGGGGCGATGGGTTCCATCGGACTCGACACGAAGCAAATAGAGCTCATCAGCCTTGTAGGCGTCAATGGAGACATACTTGGCGGACTTGGGGCGAATGAACTCCATGGAATCCGGCATGACGTCACGAAGGCCGAAAGCGGCCTTGCGGAACTTGTTAAAGTTGGCAGGTGAAAGTTCAGCTCCGACGAGGATGTTCTTCTCTTTGTTGTCAGCAATGAACTTCTTGTACGCGTCAGCAGAGTCAATCTCGGAGAAAGGGGGGACGGTAGCGCGCTCGATGAACTGGATCATGGATTCCTTATCGCGGCCGCCGTTGTAGTCAACGACCTCCTCGCCATCAGCGAAGAGCTTGAGGGTCGGGAAGCCGTCGATGTTGTACTTCTTGGCGAGCTCCTCCTCAGTGGTGGCGTCGACGTCGGCGAGGACGGCCTTGCCCTTGAGCTCGGTGGCGGTCTTCTTGAAGTCCTCGGCCATGGATTGGCAATGGCCGCACCAGGGGGCGAAGAACTTAACGAAGACGAGCTTCTCCTTGGCGACGACATCGGCGAAGTTCTTGCTGGTGAGCGTGACGACATCCGATTCGTCGGCGGCGGCGAGCGAGGCGACGAAGGCAACGGCCAGCGCCGGCAGAACGAGGCGCGCGAACGACATGATGGATCGCGGAGGGATGAGTAGGGGGGGAGAAAGGGGAATCTGGGAGGGGGAAAGCAATGTCAGGCCGATGGCGTCGGTGAGGTTGATGAATATATAGAGCGAGTGGATCGGGCGCGGGATTGGGCGATTGCGTTTGTTTGCGGAGGCGATGGAAGGGGGGGGGGTGTCCAGCGAGGATTTGCGAGGTTGGGGATCAACGAGCAAGTGGTAGTTTCGCGCGACGTAATTGGATCACGACACAGGTGTGCCGTCAATCAACACATGCGGACGGTATTTTCATTGGGCGTGGCAAACTGGCCATGCCCGTTGCCAGGCGGGAGAGGAGTTTTGCGGATATAATTTATGGGCTGCCTACAGTGCTTAGCGCGACATACAGTGAGGCGAATGAGAGGGATTCTTCGGGAAGGGTGTCCGGCGGACTGTGATAAGCGACGAGATATCGGCCGGAATTTGTTGCGTCGCCGTCCGTCACATCGCTACCCGTTGCGCTGCGGGCCGCATGCCGCCCCCGCGCGCCTGGAAGAGGCCCGCGTGATCCGCTCGTCACGCGACCGGCTCAGTCAACGATGAGATGTTGACTGCCGGTGAGGTTGTCGCAATCAACATAGGGCCCTTAGAGCTTCCTTATTGGTTGCTTTTCATTCAATCCCGTCTAGAATCGAAGAGCGCGTTCAATACCGAACAGATTTCGAGAAATTTAGGTTTTTGTCACGCTCTTCATCGTTGGATCTTCCGGTGAATGTGACGCCGTTCCACCAGTACAGGTGTACACGTGTCTCTGCATCCAGGTTTGTTGTTGAGGTCGCCGGCACGCATGGTCACGGTTTCCATGGTGCGGATACAGCCGTGTACGTGCTGTACACGTATTGGATCGTGTCGCCAATAACAGGACACAAGTCAGACCGTGTTTTTGGAGCACCCCTTAAACAGCATGTCCGCATCAACGACGTTTAACAGTAACCTTTGGGTACAGCACAGAAAAAGATCATGGCTGATCTTTTTCTGAGCTGAACAAGGAAGGGAGTCCGTTGGCCATGGGCGTGCCCGTCGCGGCATTTGAGACAAGTCGGAGCCGGAGATGAAAACGAAAGCACTGCTTTTAACAACACCTCTTCCCAGACCCCCACACCACGTACACCACCGTAATATGGTGCGGCGCCCCTAACCAAGCCTCAAAACGGCCCTACTGTACCACCTTGTACCACCCCCTTTTGTCTCTCCTTCCCAGGCCGCGCTCTTACCCTTTCAGCGAGCCTGGCCAAATTCCGGCAGCGCACAGCAATGCAAACCCTGTCCTGTCTGCATCCCCTCTCCTCTCAAAATTCCTGCCGTGCATTTACACGTCTGTTCCGCTCCGCGTCACGCCTCACCTCCGCTTCCCCAGCCTTGTAATCCCTCCCCTCCCCGCCCGCGCCAAACCTTTCGCCCGCCCCTTCGCACGGGCCCGCTGCTCAATCCCAGTCGCTTTATTACCCACGCCCGCTGCTCCTCATCTAACTCCTAACGCCTGCACTTCCCCACCACCGCTTTGCTCAGCCTGCCCCTTTGCCCCACGCTCACCCAACCTGCCCACCTCAACCGCGCGAAACGAACCCCCACACCCTTCACCCACTCCCTGCTCCGCTATCCCATCCTCCCACGACCCCCTCCCCCTTCCCTCCCCCCCGCCATGATGGCCTCCGCCGTGCGTCACCGAACAATGAAGTTCTCCTCGCCGGGTCAGTCGCTGCCAAACTACAAGGGCGACAAGCAGCGCCGGCACATGCACCCGGACACGCGCAACGCGCTAATCGTCGGTTCCGTCGCCCTGCTGCTCCTGGCGTTTGGCATCTACGCGCTGAGCGTCTTCCTGGTCGAGGAGAAGCCGCTGGGCCACAGCGGCCCGCTGAGCCTGCACCGGGAGGTGGGCGACCATCGCCACAAGCCCCACCACGGGCACCACCACCACGGAAGTCATCACCACGGCCCGCACCACCACAAGCATAAGACGTGGAAAGACGAACATGGACATACGCATGTCGAAGAGGAGGATGACGATGATGATGACTATGACTATGATGACGACGACTGGGATGATGATGACCACGACCACTTGGATGACGACCATTATGATGACCATCACCATGGACATCATGGGCATGGGCATGGGCATAGTAGCCATGGGCATCACCGCCACCATGCGCATCATAAACACCACAAGCATCATGGCGAAGGCCCGCACCGCGCAAAAGATTATTATCATGACCATGATGAGGTTGACCACGAGCACTACGACCATGACCATGACAACTATCACCATGATGACCACCACCATGATGACCACCACCATGATGACTACCACCATGACGACTATCACCATGATGACCACTACCACGATGACCACCACCACGAAGATCACCACGATGATGCCCACCACGATGACCACCACCACGAAGATCACCACGATGATGCCCACCACGATGACCATCACCACGATGACCATCACCATGATGACCATCATCATGGTGACCATTATGACAGCCAAACCCATGATGACCACCATAACGACCGTCATCACGATGATCATCACAAAGATGATCATCACCACGATGATCACTACCACAAAGACGACCACCACGACTCGCACGAGCACCATGCCGGGGATAGCTCGTCAAAAGTGCATCATGCCGGTGAGCATCATTCCTAACATAGCAAGACAGGCTTTGATTATTTGTTGTTTGGTGTGGAGTAGATCTGGGAAACCTCGCTTCTGTCATGGCAGACACATACATTTGAGTGCTTTAGCACAAGTTTCGCTGTGACGTGCAAATAAATGCGATGGTTGTGGACATGTTTGCGGAGAAAAAACAGGTTGAACGAACTGGCCCCCCTTTAAACTGAAAGACGTTTCAGCATTGAAGGTGAACAACGTTTCTGCGACTCTTGGTTGTGATTGTGAAGAGGTTCTTGCAACAGCGTTGCAGCTTGTCGTGATGGCAATGGCATTTTCTCATGTCTTGAAAATCCTCTGTGGTGTTGTGCACGTTTCGGAAGAAGAATGGAAGCACATGTGCAGGTTGAGTTCGATATTAAAGGCCAACTTTTTTCTTGACTCATTTTAGCAGCTGCAGCTGCAGAGTTCCAAGTATTGAACTGATGCTTGCCTACAGTAGAGCAGTGAGAGTACTGCAGACCCAGGTAACTAGTGTCCAGACGACAAATGACCTCATATGAGGTCACTTTTCAACTTATTTTTTCTCGACTTGTGCTAGCTCAACAAGATGGAAAAAGATACTCACGCCACCGCAGTTGACTTCTGCGTTGCGGAAGGGTGGAGGTCGGTGAGATCTGCACGTCTTTTCCAGCCATTTTAGAATGCCTGAAAAAGAAGCCTTTTTGACCAACCTCAAAACGTTTACGTTGATATCTTCGAAACCAAAACGCCTGTTTAAAAAGCCAATTGATCATTGAAACTTCATTTGATTCTTAGTCTCTCTGTGTACTGACAGCCGCCATCCCAATGTTTTGCAATATGTTATTGCCGAGGGCATATACGTTAAAGAAATGGTGTCCAAACTAACTTTATAAAGTTTCGATTTAATGTATATATTTTTGCAAAAAAAAAGCTGGCCTCATATCCCTAATGTTAGAGCTTATCAACCGGGAACATGGAATTGATTGAAATATCTGAAGCCGAGGAGCATGAATGCTGCAATGTGCGATGAAGTAAAGGAAGCGAGTGCAGATATGAGGCAGAGCAGAGCCCATTATTATGCCCTGCTCTGCCTGTATCTAGCACAAGACCGTGATAAGCGATATCGCATCCGCCACAAGACGCAGATATACGATATCGCCTGGCGCACAAGACGGTAATACAATATCAGACCACATGAAAGACCAACAGTGTCAAAAGGAAACCTTTTTTATTTTTTCCCTAGCGATAATTATGATTCACATTAATAGTGAATTGGCCTCCTGAGATGTTTTTGATACCCGTCAGAAGCCTGGCTGAGCCGCTCAATCTATCTTCACCCTCTCCATTCCCACCAACAAAGTCCGACCCATTTGATGCCTCCCCCTTCGGATGAGGGCATTCTCAATGCCCTCATCTTTAAATGCCCCCTGCCGGTTAGATGTCGCTACCTTCCTTGCCTTTGCACACTGATCGCTCAAGCCATCTGCAGCATCTTCCCGGACCTTGTCCCCATCCCCACCCGTTCCTTCAATCTCATCTCGTTTTAATACTTTATCGCCTAAACCTAAAATATCCTCTTGCTGTTTGTCTCCCTCCCGGCCCTGCAGATTTTGGTAATCCGTCAGGGAGCGAGGGTCACGGTAACCGTACGGCACCTTATTCGGTTTTTCCGTTACCTTCTTCCTGCGAAATGTATTTTTATTGATAAAATATCGATAAATCCATCGATTGCCTTCAAACAAAGCACCAAAGAAATCGCAAGAGACGCTTTTATTGACACATGCCATTGCAGAGGTTTTTTATTGCTTGGAAGGGATAGGAAAATTGACAGAAAGAGCACTCCATTTCAAGCTCATTTGCCGAGAAGTGCATAATTCGGCGAAAAGTCATATCATATTTCAGTCGCCGTGGCTCATGCGTAATCAACTCACTGACCCGTATTCACGGCGCGCACTGCTCGCTGCCGAGCGACATGGCGACGAGATGCACGAGTCTCATGCAGACGAGACCAGACAATCATCCGCTCCGGACGAACTGCAAGTAGGTGACGCAGTTCTGCACGACTGCAGGTCACGCTATCATCTGCATGAGCACCAGATCTTCTCGCTTGACGACGCTCAGCCCCATCACTGATGTGCTCAAATAGCGCTTGCTGTATATCGGTGTTAGGTTCCATGGAAAGTTGCTTTGCAGAGAGATCGTGCCCCACTCCGCCGGACTGATGAACGATTTCTGCCGCATATAATGGTCGCTCAGGTTTCATATCGCAGTAGAGCAACAGTACGGGGCCAATCTGTAGAATGGCGCCTTTTTCGGATGTTATGGTGCTTCTGTTTTGGTTTGAGGGAGCTTATGTTACTATGGTTCCCGCGAACTGAAGGGGAGGAGGTACTACCCCCGTTCAGATTATGAAAAGTATAGAAACCGGATTATGTTCAAAAACCGAATTAGGTGCCGAACGGTTACCCTGTACACATGGCAATGGAAGAGTCCGAATGGCCAGACTCTATCAAAAGAGTTGTTACAGTACCCCTTAGGCAATGCGTTGTCATACCATGCTTCACACCTGTACCGGAAATTCCGAGTGATGCTGTCGAATGACCGGTATCCAGATTGGGCTCCGCCCCGGACTAATGCGTCTTTTGATACGTTTCTTTACTCTATCTGTTTTGTGCTTAAAGATTCTCTTTTTCTCTCGAGAGCAGGTTCTCAGGGTGCTGCCTTATACTACCGCTACTTGGCGCCGACGGGCCCTGGAGGGCGGACTACCGCGCTACTGTCAGCGCTGTCGCTGTATCGCTCAGCAATGATTGAACAGACAGTCTCACACTGGTGGTTGAGCCGACACTCAGGGCTCTCTGTGATCGGCGCAGTCTGCCGTGGGGTCGGTCTTGCTGGACGCGAGCTTGAACACCGGGCGTTCCACCCAAGACTTGGGCGAGAGCCGAATGCGGTTCGTTAGCATGAGCGACATCAGCGCGCCAGACGCGTTTTCCTTCGTCATAGCGTCGGCCGGGTTTTCGGCAGACGGTATCCACAGGACTTCCCTCAGCCCTCGTAGTTCGTATGATTGACGCAGCATGCACAGGTCGATCAGCAGCCGTTTCTCCGTAGTGGCGTTCATTCCGACGAGGCTGTCGTACAGCGACTTGGAGTCGGTGTACAGGACCAGAGCGATGGTCCTACCGAACATCTTGTTCAACACCGTGCGCAAGGTGCTCGCGTAATCGAAGGCGTGCACGGCCGCGAAGAGTTCTGCAACGAGCACGCTTCGGGTAACCCATTTGGACTTCATGCTGGTGTAGTGTACGACGTTGGCGTTTCCTTCGTCGTCCATTATCGAGATCACGTATCCCAGTTGGGATGTCAGGTCCGGATTTCCAGCGAAGCTTGCGTCTGCGAAGACGGCCAATCTTCCCGAAGGAATGTCAATCTTGACGAACGTCAAGCCGAAGTGAACTTCTTGCTTGGCACGAAGGATCGCCTTGTTCAACGACTTGGCTGCGTTTGTATCAGGGTTGACGAGCTGGAAGCAGTACGCGAATGCGAACGTTATGTCGGGGCGGCACACTGCCGCGACGTAAGCGCCGCGTCCGCGTTGGGCGACGAATTCGGACTTGTCCACAGTATCTTCGGTGACACTTTCCAGCTTCTGTAGGTGGTCAGGTCGCGCAAGCGTGTAAATGCCGTCGCGCAAGCTTATTTCGGCGCCGTTGAAGGAAACTGTGCGGCCTTCTCTCAACATTTGCGGTTTATTTCCATCAAAATGTGTAGATGAGGAGGCTTCGAGCTTTACGTAGGCGGGGTATCCGGCGATTTCTGTGTCGTCAGTTTGTAGGCAGGTAAACCCTCGGGCTACTTTGGCGGACTGGTGATCCCCAGAAATACCACATGGGGTATACAGGAAGCATGGGTCATGAAGTGACGCGGTGAGGTGCAGCCTATCGCGGTGATGCGCGTGATAGGTGCGACACCAATGGATTCCGGCTTCCGGGATGCCGTAGAGCGGACGATCGACGCGTAGGAGCGTGCCAGGGGGAGGTCGAGGATTGAGGGTGATCGCACGAAGATCGCGCGTTGGGTTCGAGTCTCTGATTGTACGTAGGCCTGGGAGATATCTCGGGTGAAGAACTACAGGTCTGAGTCCATGGAACAGAGTGCCAGCAGCAGGCGCTGAGAGGGGCGCTGCACAGTGGGTGCGTGGGTCGGGAGGCCGTGATTCTTGTCGTTGCATGCTTGCACGACGAGACGAGATTTTTCGTACGCGGTTGGCTTGCCTTCGTTCTTGACTTGGTCGCAGAAGCGTGCTCCGTAGATGCGGTGGCCCTCCGCGTCGGAGGCGGGTACGAGATTTAATACGCCGCGTTCGACGAGGCCGTTGAATTTCACGGTGCGCGACTTTGCGAAGCGAGTGTTGTCTGGAGATTGCTGCTGCGCATGGTGCGTGAACATGAGGGCGGCGTCTGGTGTTTCGATTTGGTCGGTGTAGACGTGAGTATCCTGGACAGCTGTACTGTTTGCTGAAGTATCCATCCTTGGAATATCCAACGGTGTCGGGTTTTGTTCCTGCGCGTTCTGTGCAGTAAGAAATGGTTTCACCACAGTACTGCGAAACTTGGTCGGCCCCGACGGCAGCAGGACCGTGACGTCCTCACCGCAGACGTCTAGTAGCGAGTGTGGACCCTCCCATTTGTCCTTGTATGGGCGATACACAAGTACGTGCGCACCGATGGGAGTGTTGTGGATGACGGTGACTATGGGCCCGTCTCTTGCCCTCCTCGCGTCCCGGACTTGTCGGGAGGCAAAGTGTCGGGACATGGCTGTCGTTGCTTTGCGCAGTGCAATTGCGCGTTGTACGTTGACGGAGTCGGCTTGTCAGTCGGTATACCGAGACGGGGCAGGGCGCCAAAGACGAGCAGAGTCGGCAGGAGGCCGTTCGGGCAGACAGAGTCGCTGACGGCTTTGACGGCCATTTGCAGAGCTGCATGCTGGTCTAGGTCTGGAACCTCTTGGCGAATGATATTGAATGATCGCCGGAGTGGCGAGTGGTACCACTCGACTATTGTCATTGAGTTCGCGGACTAGACGGGGATGGACTTTGTCCGGATGTGGAGCATGTCGGCGTTGGCCTGGAAGGCGGAGGCCATGAAGTTCTTGCCAGCGGCATGTGCTATCACATCAGGCGAGCCTAGATACACGTCGATCCAGCACGTGCGAAGGGCGTTCCATAGCGTCTCGGCAGACATAGATGGTAGCCAGCGGGCTGATTGGAAGTGAGTGGCTTCATCGACGACATGAAGTATTGGCTTGTTTTCAATGTAGAATACGTCGGTGTACACAGTGTGATTGAAATCTTTGTCATCCCTGAGGGTGAATTTGAACCGGCGGGGCTTCTGGGCATAGGTCTGTCAGGGGCTGCAT